GTCTCTCTCCAAAACCTCCAGCCTCCTCCTCGTCGAAATCTCGCGAGCCTGAGTCCTGAGTCTCCTCTCCTGAGTCGGCAAGCACCCTGTGTGAGAGTCTGACTTATAAAGGGTGCAGAGACAGGTGCAGATAATTGAAAGGTAATTAGAGCTGTAGGTGCTGCAGTGAAGACAAACCGGTTTGATCAATAAAGACAACCTAAAACACACACATGCAGACAGAAGAGAAGAAAAGGATCCAAAGACACCAAGCAGTGCACAGAGTGATAGAAAATCTAACCTAACAGGTGTGAATCATGACAGCTGCTTGCAGCTTTAATTTGCTTTGGGTTTGTTTCAGATGTAATGGACACAGGGATGAAAATACAAAGAAGAAAATAAAGCTGAAAAGTGGGAGAAGGGTTAAAAGGGAAAGAAGAAGATAGGAGTAGAGGAGAGAGAGATAGGTATAAAGAGAACACAAATCAACATCATTGAAGTCTGACTCTAGACCTGCGGAAAGAAAAAACAAAACTGAACTGAGAAACCACACCAACAAACAACATATATAATGATACTTATAACATCATTAGAAAGTATTTTATACAGTACATGGTAATACAATATATATCTGATGGTCACCACAACCCAACTGAGTGTGTATCTGATAAACACCTGGATCTAAACACCTGTGTGAGCATGATGTCACTATAAGGTTTCTCCAGAAAAATGTTCAATAGTGGATGTGGGGACCCACAGACCCACAGCGGGCCCCACGCCCAGAGCTCCGGGAGTCCCCCCCAACAGGGAGAACCGCGCACCCCCCACCCCACTCCCCCACCCAGAGAGAAGCAGAGGGTAGCCCCGGGGGGTGACCCCCAGCAACTACAATGAAGAGGTCCCAGGAGGCTGCAGCGACGAGCCCACAGGCCCTGCCGGCAATCCACCCCTCCAGAGTAGATCCGGCCATGGACACCAAGCCACAAGTCCAGAGGTCATACCACCCCCAAACAAAGGCCCGACAGAGCCAGGGCACCCAGGCCCCGGCAGGCAGCCACCAGGGTGGGCTGGCACACATCCAATCACCCAGCCCATATGCTGATAACCACCAATGCACCGGCGGCAGGGGGGCCCGCCACTGGACGGGAGCACGACAGGGGGAAGTAGACCCCACATTAAATGGGGGGACCAATTTGATCCAAGAGAGGGGACCGCCCAAAACCCAACCCGAGACATAAATAGGCACACACAGACAGCCCGACTGAGCCTCTGTCGGGCCGTTCATGTGCCCCACCCACCTGACAGCGACTGCAAGCCGGCCCTAGGCTGGAGGCCAGAGCAGCATGGAGCAGTAGCTGAGGGAAGCCGGCCCAGCACACCAAGGACCAGGCACCTCAAAGCCTGGTATCCACAGGTCTGGTTCTTGTTGTAGCCTGTTGTGTCCGGTTCTAGTGGGACCTCTATTTTTCTGTCTCCACATTGCCTATAGTTCCCGTTTAGTGGGCGGATTGTTCACCTCTAGTGGGCGGATTATTAATATCAATGCACCTTACCAGCTGGTGGCGGTAGTGCTACATTAAGCTCTTTTCTAAGCACCACTAACATGTATTAGAAGAAGAGCTGGAAAACAACACACAACCAGAATGGATGACCTCGATGAACTTGAAGCAGAACCAGCTGCACAGCCCGTCCTGGTCTCTGTCCCACAAGATGGAGAGCAGGGCCGAGGTGTCAGAGATGCTCTGATGGAGTACCTCATGAGCTGTAACTTATCCTAATTGTTTTGTTTTTATCTTTTTTGGGGGGGATTTGCCGTGTCAAGGATAACTGAGAATCTTCACCAGCATTGTTACAGGTAAAAAACAATTACTTCACTTATCTACACTATTGACGTAAAAAAACACTGTAAGCACTTCACTTTTGATGATCAGATGGAAGCTCAAGACTTGAAAATGTTTCTTTTATTAGAAATAAAGACCTGTACAAAAAAACAATAATTATACACTAATTATATATGCAAACTTAACAAGCTACATGTTTGGCTATTTGTGGGCTTACCTTGCAGGATCTACATTTCTATAGATCAACTATGATCTACTCTAAATATTTTTAAACATGTCTGTTTGCCATGGAACGGGCAATGGATTCCAGCACCCCAAGGAGTGCCTGATTGAAAGCAGCACTCTGTTCAGCCTCCTGCCTTCGCTGTGCTCCTTCCTCTCTGCGAACATCTGCTTCCTCTCTCCTCAAGGCCATCTCCTCCCTCCTAATTGCCTTCTCCTGCTTCCTCGCTGCTGCAGCTTGGCGTTGCCCCTCCGCAGCTTCTTCTTGCCTTGCCTTTTTGACATCCTCACAAATAAAATGGAAGTGTTTCTCTCTCTGCTTCTGGTTCATCTCCTCTTGTTCTGTATGTGCAGAAACAAAGCTCTCTGCTGCACTTGTTGATCTGCGCTTTCTATTGCCTAGGAATAACACACAAGAAAATGGCTGTTAGATGATGAAGTACAGGTAGAGTTTTTAAATAAATTATTTACATTAAAGTTCCTGCTAATTTCAAAAGGTGTTTGTTTACAAGATCAGAAATGTTTCTGTTCATAAAGCAGTCTAGTACTTTAATGATAGTAAGCAGGTGGGCATAAATAAACTACATGTAGTCATTTACAACGGTTTGTGCTAATTTAGAAAAAGAACAGAGCATCGTTAATCTGAACAAAAATCACTACACCCTGTATAATTTTAATAATAAACTTCATAAATGAAAGTTTAAGTAATAAATGAATAACTAAATTTAACATTTATCCATTACAACTGAATAAACAAGTAGCTTGAATACATGCAAGGTGTTTTACAACAAAAACAAAACAACATTCATATCAACATGATCAATGTGATGTTAAACACGATTGTTGCTTCTTACTAGTAACGGGTGCTGTTCGGTGCCGCTCTGCTGCGTGTTGCCCGGTGGCGTGGATGTGCCCGGTGGCGTGGATGTACTCGGTGGTGTAGATGTACTCGGTGGTGTAGATGTACTCGGTGGCGTGGATGTGCCCGGTGGCGTAGATGTACTCGGTGGCGTAGATGTACTCGGTGGCGTAGATGTACTCGGTGGCGTAGATGTACTCGGAGCTGGTGTGGTCGGGAAGGGTCAGAAGCGGGGAGGATTGGACAGTCAAAAGCAGAATCTGGCGAACCTTCATGTTCAGTGGGACTTTCTGCATCAAAATAAGAGTGGAAAAACAGCAACAGAGTACAGTTAGCAATGATGCTAACTAATGACGACATAACCGTGTCAGCCTCTTTTGTTCAGAGTACTTTCAGAAAACGCAAAGAAACGGTTGCATGAGGAAAAGGAAATATGCTTAAAGTAAATAAAATACACTCACCATCAGCTATAGCTTCCAGAAGAGCAGTGGTCGTGTCTAGGCCACTCTCCCTCCCTTTGTTGGCTGGGCGTTTGCCGTAAATGGCATCCATTTGTACAAACCACTTCTAGTTTCTTCTGTTTGCTCCACTCCTACCGTTGTGGTCCTTAATCGTTTTGTAATCGCTTTTTAGTTTTTTAAGCTTTCCTCTGCTTGGGTGTGCGATGGAAGCCCTGCACCGCCATCTGCGCAGACCTCTTGAAAAATCTTTTCATTTCGTTTGGTTCCATCTAGCTCGCGCTGCACTTGTTCATCGGCCAGCAAACAGAGAAATGCCTGAACTTCAGCATTCGGCCACGGTTGTGCCATGATTATTTGTTTTACCTTATAAAATATTCCAAAATAAGCTCCTCCGATTTCTTGTTGTCTGTTATGCGGGTGAAAAAGAAAATGGTGGATTGTAATTTCCGGTGGAAGACTGAATCTCCGCCCTCCACCAATGAATACGCCCCCTGACCAATCAGTGACCTACAGTGCGCTGATGTCACATCTAGACCCTACAAGAACCAGACCTGGGACCTCAGAGAATTAGGTCCCAAAAATGGGGTGGGTTCCACCGCTAAAGGCACTGTGGATAAAACACGCAATCGGCCACAACTAGTTACATAGGAGTACCAAAGGGCCCCGTGGATAAGGGGCTCAAGAGTCCCACACCACAGGACCGGAGAAGCCCTGGAATGCCACCTACCCCCCCCCCCCCCCCCATGCACACACACACAGCACCCCCCCACTGCGAATGTCACACCAGGCCAACCAGCCAGCACCCTGTCAAAGCCAAGCCACGCCCCCGGGGCTTCCATTAGCATTTTAGCAATCACAGTGGGGCTTTCACCCGTCCACTCAAGAAGTCCAATAATTCTAATATTATCACGTCTGGTATGCCCCTCCACAGATTCAAACTGTTTTTTAAGCCCATTGACTTCACTCTAACTCCACCCCCGTCCCACGCAGCCTCTTCATCTTATCTGAGTATAAAGACAGACCGTTTTCAGTCTCTGAAGCAGCAAGTTTAACTCAGTCGAGCTTCGTTCTAAATTGGTGTAAATGAGCTCAGCTCGGACCGCCTGCCATTCACTCTTAATAAAATTAAAATCCTCTGTCAGACCCACTCTTACTTCCATCCTAATCATCGCTATAACTTTGGATTTAATTTAGGCCAAAATGTCTGACCTCAGAGCCGACTTGTCCGTCCCTCCAGAGCTCGGTGAAGGTAGGGCCAGCGCATCTGCCGATCCACCTGTTCTTTCATCACAACGGCCCGAGGCTGAAATGGTGATAGTGGGCCGCGGGGGAGAAGCGACAGAAGATTTGGACTTTTTCTGCTTTGAGGTCATATTACCAGTCTGTTGATTCAGCTACATGGCGACACCAGTCCCAGAGACAAAATCCAGCCTGAAGGCAGCAAGGATACAATATTAAAAAGCAGTTTATCAGCGGGGCTGACGGGAGCTCAGCCAAAACACAGCTGACATGTCTAGTGCCATGTTGGTTTTCCTGAGATTATTTATTTTAACTGAGTCACGCTTCACAAGAAATTAAGCATTGTTTTAATAAGCTGTGAGAGAACCAACCAATTTATCGGTCTGTCTGTCTCCCTAGTGAATGTTCTAACAGGCACTTTGGTCCAGTGTGGCAGCTCAAGTGGAACCAACAGGAGTTGAGCTTCACAGGAGAGGCAAAAGTAGAATCTCTCGTATCTGTGGGGGCAGACGGCAAAGTCATCAAGTGGGAGGTCTCCAGCGGTGGCGTCAAAGGTTCAGGTACTGTTTTTGGCAACAAGCGGTGGTTTTAGGATTATCTGATGAGCCTCTCGCACTCTGTGTGATTTACAGCCATCATAGACAACTAGAACATGCCACACTGTGTGGACTAAGATTTCTAAAGTCCTTATAGGAACCCGTGATTCCCTATGATGTCACATTTCATAGATGCTGTAATGAGGACTGTAACTGTTTTTTATGAGGATTAGCAATCACTTCAGTGTGTTGGGTCAGGACGGCAATTATATATGTCCAGGTGAGTTGAGATAAAAGGAGAGAATGTCCAGGTTCTGGGTTTAACTTGAACTGGTCTTTATTTAGGCTTGAACACAAACATTATCACTCCATTCTAGTAGAGAGTGTGTTTGTGTGTGCGTGTGTGTGTTTGTGTGTGTGTGTGTGTGTGTGTGTGTGCGTGTGTGTGTTTGTGTGTGTGTGTGTGTGTGTGTGTGTGTGCGTGTGTGTGTGTGTGTGTGTGTGCGTGTGTGTGCGTGTGTGTGTGTGTGTGTGTGTGTGGTTTTCCACAAGAAAATAAACAAAATATGAATTATAATAGGGTGACCAGACGTCCCCGTTTTGGACGACCTGTCCCCGAAAATGTCCCCGATTTGAGCGTTTAATGACTGAGAAAAAAAAAAGTTGCATGTAGACTGTTATTGCTGTAGCCGGCCAGGTGCAGTTGGCACAACAACCACTGTTACTGCAGCAGCTGGTTGCACCGCTGCTACAGCGCAGACGTTACAGACAGAAGAAGAAGAAGAGCCACGCGCGCCGCCTTTAAAACAGAAGAAGGAGCGCAGCACGAGTTTGTCAACACGGACTGGGAGAAAAAGGAAAAAAACCAACTACGGGGAGCTCCCCTGTGATGGTGTGTATGAACTGATTTATTTTGTTTGAACTAGGCTGATCCTTGCCATGATAAAAGTTTTGTTTGTAGTAGGAAATGTTTCCAGTGTTGTAAGCTGTGTCCAGGTAAAATAAATAAATTAATAGGGATGCAATGAAGATAAACATGAGGACCCAAACCAAGCTTTTATTAACAAACAGATCAACAAAAATCAAAAAGAGAGCAGGGAGTAACTGCAGCTCGAGTGAGAGAGAGGGAGAAATCATAGCAGGATGATGCATGACTGCATTCAGGCTCAGTTAAACTGGTTTAGACTTGACATGTTGAATATTGCACAAGGGTGCATGCACCAAGGGTTCATCCAAAGTTAGATGTTTTAGAATTGATTTGTGACTTTAGTTTATATTAATTCAAATCGATCTGCTGGCTCCTCAGATAAATAGTGTTAATATACTTTTATATATATGAAAGTTTCTGTTCAGATGACTTCTGTTGTGACTTGGAGCTTTATAAATAAACTGAATTGATACGTGAACATAGACTTTCAGGCTTCGGTGTGTAGTAAAATATTATGATCAACTGTATGAAATGCAGCACTGAGGTCTAACAGGACCAGTGTAGACACCTGTTCATTGTCAGAGTCCATGAGAATATCATTAGTAACTTTCACCAGTGCTGTTTCTGTGCTATGATGAGCTCTCAATAATTTAAAATCATTTTAATATTTATAATAAGATTATACTAGGATAACCCCAGTTTCTCATCTAAAATGTATCAACTCCTAAAGAGTTTCTGAAACAAAAATCTTGTTTTCTTTGTTAAATAGTAAGTTTTCAGTAAACGTTCTAATATTTTTGGAGGGGATTGTGATTATATTATGTCTCTGTTTTAGAGAAGTGGAAGACTTATAGAAGAGGAGAGAGGAGGGAAACAGACTAATAGGAAGAAGAGTTAGAGAGAGAGAAGAAAAATACAAAGACTGATAGAAAAAGAGTGAATGAGAGCAGAGGAAAGTAGGAAGACTGATAGAAAGAAGAATAAAACAAAGAGAAGGAACAGAGCAGATGAGTGTTGCAAAGAAAAAGGAGGAAAGGAAAGAAGAAAGACGAGTCTGAATGACAAGATGCTCTTTCAAAGAAGAGAAGTGTCATTTTTACTGAGAAATTATAAGCAGAGTTTTCATTTCTACGTCCTGGTCGGCTCTTCAGATTGTTGCTCTTCAATTAATGTTCAAGTTTATCTGTCTCATTTTTATGATGTCTAATATTTAGAATTAAAGTTCAAGTGATGAACTGATGAAGTGGTTTGACTGGTAACGTATTGAGTGATGACAGTGTCCGTGTACTGGTGAGATGTTACGGCTGGTTCGAGTTGAGAGGACAGAAGTTCTTCCTCTGAGCTGAGCGTCAGGTTCATGTACTTCTCTAACCACAGCAGTGTGAAGAGGCAGTTTCTTGAGTGATCATGAAATAAGTGGAAGAACAAAAAAAAAAAAAAAAAAATAGATATATAATCATATTACTAAATTGTGTCTTATTTCTCATGTTTGAAGTATTTCTCTTTACTATTATCTGTGATTTTTCAGTTTGGTGCGAAACCTTTTCTGCTCTTCTTCCTCTTCTCTGCTTTGCAGAGAGTGGTGAAGGCTGCACAGAAATCTGTTGGAATCAGTCTCCCCACCATCACAGACATCTACACCTCCAGATGCAGGTAGAGGGCCACCTGCATCATGAAGGACCCCACCCACCCAGCACACACACTTTTTGCCCCACTCCCCTCAGGAAGGAGGTTAAGGAGCATTAAGTGTAGAACCACTAGACTGAGGAACAGCTTCTACCCTGAGGCTGTTAGACTCATGAATCTCTAACTAGAATAATCACTGTGAAAAACCATATCATGTTGCTGCTGATCTGTTTCATGTTGCTGCTGATCTGTTTCATGTTGCTGCTGATCTGTTTCAATGTTGATGTGTTCATGCGTGCACATCTGCTCACAGACTCATGTTCATGTTTGTGCTGATGTTCAATGTTTTATGTTATGAGTGCTTAGTGTATATTTAGTTGATGTTTTTCTTAGTTCATATCTTAGATGTTATTACTGTTTTTCTTTTACATTTTATTGTTGGATGTAACTGGGACCCTGTGTACATAATTTTGCTCCACCACATGTACCACATGAGGTGCGAATGACAATAAAGAAACTCTGACTGACTCTGACTCTGACTTCTATTCCAGACCTCCATGACCACCATGGCTGATGACTCTTCAGACAGAGGAGACCTCGCAGAACCAGAGATGAGATCATGTTAGCGGACTACCTGACCCTCACTCACCTCACACATACACACAATATAAATACACATCAGCTACGTAACCATACACTGTGTACTTATACACACCTATGTAAGTACATACATGTTCTCATACACTCACAAGGTATGCACGCTCACTTACTATTATATACTCTTGAGCCCCCCCCCAGTTTTAGTACTCTTTTACTATTACTTTATTCATTTTATTACTCTTATGTTAACAGTGTGGAGAGACACATTCCTGCTGTTATATTTGATTTTTATTGTTTAAACATGAATAAATATGTAAAAATAAATGAAACTGTAACTGTCCCCGTTTTTAATTTCATCTTGATGAAATTTCTTTGTTTTTGGTCTCCGAGCTGGAAATGTCCCGATTTACCTTCAGAAATCTGCTCACCTTAAATTATAAGTACTACTCTATGAGAACTGTTCATATTACAATGCAACTTAAATGTCCACATGAGAATAAGCACTACTAAGACCTGGTTTATAATTAGCAATGAAAATGTACAGTCTAAATGCACATAAAATAACTATCACATTTACCAGTACTTAAATCAACATAAAGTATACATCACACAACAATGTACAGCATTGTGGTTGGAAAATATAAGTCACAGACATGAACTGCAGCATATACACAAGCCTAGGCCTATAGTTTTCAAATAAGTAATGCTAAGTGGCTAGCAGTTAGCTTCTCTAGTGTCAAGGTTGGTAATAATGTATCCGCCTCATTACCTCTTTCTTGCGGGGTCCCACAGGGTTCGATTCTTGGAACCCTTCTGTTCTCACTTTATTTGCTCCCACTGGGGTCCATCCTGAGGAAACATGGTCTTTCATTCCATTGTTATGCTGATGACTGCCAGATCTACCTGCCTGTGAAACCAGCAAGTGTTTGCTCCATTCACCCTCTGTTAAAATGTCTGGACGACATTAAGGCCTGGATGGCTTCAAATTTCTTAAGTTTTAACAATGAGAAGACTGAAGTCATTGTCTTTAGCCCTAGCTCAACTGCCACCACTGATCCTGTCAACCTGGACTCTCTTCAGCCATATCTGAAGCAGTCTGGTAAAAATCTTGAGACGGTTTTATACTCTGACTGCAAGTTTGACAAACAAATCAACTCTGTTCTGCAGAAAAGCTTCTTCCAACTCAGACAGGTAGCTAAACTCAAGTCAGTGTTGTCCAGACCTGACCTTGAGAAACTAGTCCACGCCTTTGTCATGACCCGATTGGACTATTGCAATGCACTCGATGCTGGGATCAGCCAGGCCTCCATCTCATGTCTTCAGCTTGTCCAGAATGCTGCTGCTCGGCTTTTAACCAGAACTCGTAGGTCTGAACATATTACTCCAGTTCTGTCCTCCCTTCACTGGCTCCCTGTTTGTACGAGGATAGTCTTTAAAATTCTTCTGTTGACCTTCAAATGCTTAAATGGCCTCGCACCCCTTTACCTCTCTGAGCTTCTGGAACCTTACATTATTCCCTCTCGGGCCCTGAGATCATTCGATCAGCTGCTATTGGCTGTTCCAAAAACAAGACTGAAGCTTAGAGGAGATTGGGCTTTTTCAGTCATGGGCCCCAAACTCTGGAACAACCTGCCCCCCAACATCAGGCAAGCCACCTCCCTTCCTCACTTCAAATCTCTGCTTAAAACACATCTGTTCTCGCAGGCATTTCACACAATGTAAATTGATCTAGTGTTTTTTTTTATCTGTGACCCTATGTTTTAAATGCTTTTATTAATTATTCAGTTATTACAAAGTATTATTAGTGTATTGTGTAGTGATGTAAGGACAGCTTTTGCTATAACATACTACTAATTAATTATTCTTAAAG